TTGGAGAAGGACCTCATGCTGGGTAAAGTAGAGGGTGGGGGAAACCGGAAGACCCTCAATGCGATGGATGGACACAGTGGCCACAACAACGTGCTCAAACAAGGAACAATTGTAAAGATGGCACAGGACCCGAAGTGCTTTGATCTGGCATGCATGGGGTTGCAAGGACTCAGAACGGACTCAGCAACGAGCTTTTGTGTTGGATTCTTTTACTTATAAATGTATTTTCCCTCATTTTAGTGGCAACATCACATGAATGGTATTGTATTGGGACAATTTTATTACCTGGTGTCTCCTGAAAACATGTCCAAAGTATGTGAGATGAAGTCTCGCCGTCACGCACTGCAGCCTTGTCAACTCCCTGTCCGGATTACTGTGACGCAAGCCCGCGTAATGCATTTTACTCATAAAGGTTTCGGGGCGTATCGAAAAGAACAGTTTTTAAAAAACATAACCAGAATACCAATACCAGCCCTAAATACTTTATCATTAACAGCAAATTTTCACAGCCCCTTCCTCTCTCATCCATGGCTTTACTCACCGCCTAAGAGAGAAAGAAGGCTCACACACTTCTGTCTCCAAGCGATGTCACTGTCAGGTCTCCTTTCTGAGGGCCCAGTTCCCACTGAAGTGAGTTAGATTGTGAGAAACTTCATGGGCCTCAAAACAGAATTCGCCCCCCAGGGCTTTCCATGGCTGGTTCTTCAGAAAACAGCTCTCCAGCGCTCTCTTCCATATCCGGGTGAGCTCCACTTCCAGTCTTTTGATTAGCAGTCAAGTGTGTTAACCACTTGCAGCAGCCAAGGGCTACCTCTCAAGTACAGAACCATGTAACAGCTGTCTACCTGGCCAAGGTTGGCTTCTTCAGGGTCTAGGGCACATAGTATTTTCAAGGGTTTGCCAAAAAAAGTTGTATTTCATAAATATGAAAAGATAAAAGAAAAAAGTATATCGTTTTAATATGTCCATCTTCACACCAATGCAGTTATAAAAAGTAATTGTATTCCATACGATTCCTACGATCTGTCTGGGAAGAGGGAGCTCTGGTGGGGTCGTGGTTACTCGCTGGGCTGCCAGCCACCAGGTTACAGTACAAACCCATCCCCAGACCTGGGGATCTAGTCCAGTGAGGAGTCAAAAGAAAAACAAGCATCAAATTGATACCAGCTCATAGTGAACCCACAGGACAGAGTGGAACTGTCCCTTTACGTTTCTGAAGCGGTTCCTCTTGACAGCAGTAGAAAGTCCAGTCTCCCTCATAGCAACTGGTGGCTTCCATCTGCTGACCTTGCAGTAAGCCACCTAACGCAGAACCACGATGCCACCAGGGCTTCTAGTCCTGTGAAGACTGGAGCCTAGGAACCCCCATGGAGCAATCCTACTCTGTCCCATGAGGTCACTAGGAGTCAAAATCCACTTGGCAACACCTAACAAGGCGACATCCATTGCACTTGTTACGGAGGAAAGACCCCAGAAAGGCCATGAACATCACAATGTGCACTGTGTCCACAGAGCGCCCTGTCCTCTCCTTGCCGTGTGTCTCAAAGCCATCCTCGAGTCTGCATGTCCAAAACCTGAACACGTGCTTCCCCACCCTCCACGTCTGGTCCTCCCCCAACCCCAGGGGCCCTACATCCGTGTAGGGTTCACTGTGATGGAAGCAATGAAGACCACCCAATTCATAACAGGGGATTAGTCAGCACTTGCTATCACGAGGGTGTCAGCCACCATCTCTAGAAGTTGGCCGAGATGCACAGGCAGTTGTGGGAGAAGGAGAGCTCAATAGGCCAAAAGGGCTTGGCTCCAGATTGGAAATGAGGGTGGGGGGCAGCTCAAGGAAGGCTGCCTAGTAGGGACAGGGGCACTGTATATGTTTAGTTTGGGGAGCACTAAATGCACCCAGAATCAACATGAGGGAAAACCATCCCAATGAAAGCATTTTGAGTATGTATTTATATATGTAGACATATATCTGGTGATATTAACGCACTCCATAACACTGATTATTTCCTTTACCGAAGGCCTTAGAGAGAGAACTCATTAATCTGTCAAAGTGGTTTTCTTGGCTTCTTTGAACTCGAGACCATTGTAAGCATGGCCTGCCACCCTATTTGTACATGTCCAAGTTCCAGCAACGGAAAAGCACATCAGCAGGCTGTTATTCCTGGTCAGGGATGTTTCAGGCCTAGAAATATATGAAATTGCTGTGGGATTTTTGTGTATGTCTGGATTTGGGGTTTTTTTAGCTGCATGCTAATTTTTCATAACTTTCTTTACTTTTATCGTGTTTTCTCTAAGAGGCTTTGGAATGAGTTCCAATTTGTGGTGTAAATATAGGCTTCTTGTTTTAGGAAGCATCCACTTATCCTCTAACACCTTTCAGCTCTGAAGATAATAGTTTCAGAGTTATTCCAAACACTTGCACGACTTTGAGACTCAGACTCGGGTCCCGGGAACAGTGCTCACGTTCTGCAGAGACGCCTGCCCTTTTGGCTTCTTCTCACCTCTGCCTGGTTCTTGTTGACGGTGTGATCTTCCCAGTGACTCTGGTGGCTCTGCAGACAGGGCTGATTTTCTAATGTCGCCGTCTTCTCAGTGAAGCCAAACCCTTAAAATTCCAGACCTCTCAGCAATTTTCCCTAAGACTACTCCTGGCTCACAGGACTGTGAGAGATCGGCAAGGGCAGAGCCTTAGATCAGGTGGCAGACCGGAGACTTCTACAGGCTGGGGTCCTCAGGGTTAGGCAGTGGGAAAAGCGCAGAGTTAGAGAGAGTAAGTCTGAAATTCATATCGATAACCTGAAGGGAGGTCACGCGTGTCCGTCCTAAGGAACTCCCCTTTCAACTGGCTGATTACATAAAATCATTAGTGTTATAGAGTGTGACCAGATTACATTAGGGGAAAGCAACTCGTCTAATGCTTGGCAAACCCCCCAGGCACCAACAGCCTGGCCACGGTGGCATACAATGAACCAGCACGAGTAGTATAATTTGTAACCTGCTGTTCCATGGAGCGAGTGAACTAAGGAACTAAAAACTCTGAGAATAGGCTATTTGGACAAGAATCAGAATGCTTCCCAAGACGCCCACTCTCTGTCATTTGTGATAAGCAGCACTGAGTAGGACTGAAAGAACAGAGGTGTGATCATTTAAGATCATCAGTTTCCTACATTTCATGCAGAGATTTAAAAAACAGTTTTTTCCCAGTTGAACCAAAATGGCTTTCCCATTTCAGTGTTATTTCTTGGTAGTGTGGGGTGGTTGGTAAAGGACCAGAACGAAAGATCTCATTTCCAGGACTTAGAAGAGACTAGATACCTTGGTGGCCCATGGTAAGCACTGGACCAGTGAGATTGGGGTCAATGAATGTGGCCCTGGTAGCCATCATCCCTCACGTGATGTATTATAAATGCTAGCGGCTATGCCTGTGGTTACAGACTCTTGCTTTGGGGAGCGTAGTCCTGCTATGCTAATGGACAGAATCAGGGTGGGGTTACATCTCTAGCCTAGTAGAGGTGTGAATTAGTCACACCCTTTGTTTCCCGGGAGGTATGGTCTGCTGAGAGGCCACAACCACACCTCCATGAGAGCCATTCCTCTCTGTGTACGGGAGTCAGCTTGAGCTCACAGACAATCCCAGGATCGTTTGTCAGAAGAGCCACTACTGGAGCACGTGTGAGAGCCCTGTCTGGAATGGCAGCGCTGGAGACCAGAAGCACCAAAGGCTGTGGCATGGGGACCCCAGGATCGAGTCAGTGAGCCACGCTGAGACCCGAGACCAAGGCAAGGAGAGCTTGAGCTACAAGGGAGGAGCAGCTGTGAGACGGAAGTAGACCAGGGAGGGAGCCTTCCTGGACCACGTGACATGGGCCAAGGGACCACGCGACTGGGAGGTTGCAGAACAGAGACTTGGCTGTTGGCTGAGGGCCTATCCTGGACACTGGTACAGATGGGAACTGGAAACACAGGGAATCCAGGGCGTATGATCCCTTCGGGACCAGTGGTGAGAGTGGCGATACCGGGAGGGTGGAGGGAGGGTGGGGTGGAAAGGGGGAACCAATTACAAGGCTCTACATATAACCTCCTCCCTGGGGGATGGACAACAGGAAAGTGGGTGAAGAGAGATGTCAGACAGTGTAAGATATGACAAAATAATAATTTATAAATTATCAAGGGTTCATGAGGGAGGGGGGAGCAGGGAGGGAGGGGAAAAATGAGGAGCTGATGCCGGAGGCTTAAGTGGAGAGCAAATGTTTTGAGAATGATGAGGGCAATGAATGAACAAATGTGCTTTACACATTGATGTATGGATGGATGGTGATAAGAGTTGTATGGGCCCCCAATAAAATGATTTTCAAAAAAAGAAGAATTGTATCCATCCTGTTTGCTGATCCCGATGTGTCGTAACTTGTTAGCTTCCCTAATAAACCCCCTTGCTTGTGGATTTTATCTGTGAGTTCTGAGTGGCCTTTTCAAGGAATGATTGAACCCAGCATAGTAGTAGGGAGGAGCGGTGGGGTGTCAAAATCTGGTAGAGAAAGATGGAGGGTGGAGGCACGTCTGCGCCCTGGCCTTGTGGCAATAGAAAAGCCAGAGGAGGTCAGATGTGGCCTCCAAGCCATTTTCACGAGACTAACCTAAAGGTCTGCGGGTTCAAACCCACTCGCTGTTCTGCTGGGCGAGGTGAGGGCTAAGTGACGGAATGCCCATCAGCAGACAACAGACCTGGCAACTCTATGAGGCCCTGCTCCTCTGTCCTACAGGGTGTCTATGAGTCAGAATTGACCCCAGGGCAGCATGTGGGTTTGGGGGTTCCTGGAGGAACCAAGACCGAGGGACAAGGAACTCACCAGGAAACAAAGAGCAGGCCACCATGCAATTTAAGGAGGCCGCTTTCTTCAGGTCAGCCCCAGCAACCAGACAGCTAAGACGCTTGTGAGCAGACAGCATGGATCATAAGGCAGGCGATCGTTTGTGCTTTTATTGCTTGATGGGGTTCCCAAACCTGCTAAAGGACACGTTTACAGCCTACAGCGGCAATTGAGACTTGATGGTAACAGCGGTTTTCCCTGAAGGGCTGGAGTTGGTTTGATTCTTCTGGGGGTGGAGAGGGGCTGATGAAAACGATAGTGCCGGACACCCATTCACCTACGGTGTGTTCTAGATGCATAACTGGGCTGAAAGCTGGGGGTGGGGGGTGAACAGTGGGAGAGCTTTCTGTGTCTAACGGCGAACAGGTTGTGCCAGCTCCAGGATCCTTGCAGAGCACTTTGCCTTCATAGCAGCCGGCTTGACTTTAAAGACATCCAGTTCAAACGCTGCAGTGCGCACAGGAGACCTGAGATGAGGGGAGAGGACGTCAGCCTGGAACGAGGTCAGCAGAAAAGGGAGCGAACATTTCTCAGGCACCACTCTGTGCTGTTGTGCTTAGTCATCATCGAGTGATGCCAACTCAGGCATGTGTTAGGTCTATGAGTATGATCCCACTTTCATTTTCAAAGGCACCTTATAAAAAAGATGTCATGACCCAACTCCACAGACAAGGAAATGAAGTTTCAGAGAGGCTGCAGGGACAGTTTAATGCTCCGACCCAGACTTGTATATCTGTTAGATTCCAAAGTCTGTACTCTTTCAACAGAAAGCTGGTTCTGGAAATTTCTCATTAACCTGGCAATGCTAAACAAGGCAGATAGACCTCTGGGAGACTTGAAGAACTCAAGGTTTTAAAGTTCATCACCCATCACATCAAAACTTCACCAAGGAAGGTAAAGTCTTGAGCACTTAACTATTCTCCCCTTCCCTTCCGTCCCTCACAGAACAAAGAACGAGTTTCATTACACTTCATGGTAAGCTTGGCGTTCTTAAAAATAAACACAGCCTTAAACATCCTGATCTTTTCACTCCATAGAAACGAACGTCTTCCTTTTCTCTGAGTCAAGATGCTGGCAAAATTGTCAGTTCCTCTCGGGTTCTCTTCAGATGTTAGCCCTTACGTGTAACAGAACAAATTGCGATTCCTCCTCAAAAGTAAACAGGAACGGGGAGCAATCTCTGCCTTGCTAGATGTCTTTGTTTTCTCATTTATTTGGAAAAGGTCATACATTTCCATGATGCAAAACCATTGAAAAAGTATAAAGGCCTATTTAGCAAAAAATAAAAAGTCTTCCTCCCACCTCAGTTCCCTAGGCCCACCAAAGGCAACCACTGCTAATAGTTTGTTGGGAGGCTTCTGAAACACTGTAGGCATCCGTGAATATTGCGGTGCCCACCTCCTGTTTCTTCTTACACGAATGACAACACTGGAAGTGTTTTGTTCTGCAACATCTTTCCCTTAACGACCTGGGTCAGAAATCATTCCAAATCCAGACCTATAAAGTGATGGGTGGCATCTCCTTGAGATAAACAACGGCCTCTGTTCTCATTTCCTTTGAACCACAGCAACCCTGGAGTCGAATGAGTTGGGGGCAGGGAGTGGTCAGACCAAAAGGGACCACCTGGGGGCTCAATCTTAACTCAACCCAGGAAGCATAGATCATGGGCAGGCACACACACACAATGAACAAAATCAAACCCACAGTCATAGCGTCCATGCCAACCTACGGGACAGGAAAGAAGAGTCCCAGCGAGTTTCTGAGACTGTGACTCTCCAGGGGAGTAGAAAGCACAGAGGCTGATAAAGAGCCCGAGCCCTAAGGCTTGGAGGAGCTCCTGGTTGGTGATGCTCCAAAGTGGGCCGTGTGTCCCTCACCCCATGCTGTAACGCCTCCTAGGTCTCACCCTCAGTCTCACTTCATTTGCATCCTTTCTGGTTGTAAGAAAGCTGTAGCGGTAAGTCTGAGATTCTATACATGGCTCCGGGGAGTTCATTCCTAATCCTGAAGGCTGGTGGGAAGGACAGAGAAGTGGGAAATGAGGGCTGGCTCCATCCCCACATTTTGGGGGTGGGATCCATGCTAATCCTTACCAGGCAGTTAGGAGTGAGTGTGGGATTGTCACTGGGCCCTTTGTTTCGTGCAGTCCCCTAGAGAGAGTTTCATGCCGAGTCCACTAAGCCTTTGATTGTTGCTTTTTATTTGTGGTAGAGTGATTATAGACTTGTCATAAAAAATGTGAGACATTTGACTTTTCATTTTTTGTACTTCTACAATTCTATTGATCACCCTTCTTAGGCCCTCCTCTCACCAACACCCCTCAACATTTCGCTTTCTACCTTATAAACTGACATACCTCGGACTTGGAATAGAGAGTTCTTGAACTCGGGGAGACACTTGGGAATGGGTAGCAGCATACGATATTGGCCACTGGGCCTCCCGGTCTGGTATATAATCTGGATGGACGGACTTATTCTTCGCCAGAGTCATTAATCGAGGGCTAGCAGAAGCATGTGTGGCCGCAAAGGAGACCTACAGTGGAAACAAAGACCCCAAATGGATCATAAATTGCACTATTTTTTAATCTTGCATGGTAGTGGTTCCCAGGTTGCTAGGGTGCTGAGCAAGGGTCAGCAAGGCTTCCAGACTGCAGCGGCCTAGGGAGAAAGGCACTCCATGAAAACCCTATGGATTAAAATGGTCTGGACCACCACTGGTCCGAGGAATGGCACAGGACCAGGGAGCATTTCCTTTGGTTGTGCATGGAGTTGGAGGCTGACTCCCCAGCAGCTAGCAGCTCTATGAGGTAAGTCCTTTCTAGAGTCTAACTCATATCACGTCACTCCCACACTCCTGCGACCTTCCTGTGGCTTCCCATTGCATGAAGAATGACATTTAGATCCCTTACCATGGCCTACAAGGCCCAAAACAAGAGCTGGCCACTGCTCCATTTCTCTCATTGCACTGTCTTCCCTTCATCACCACATGCCCAGCCATGGAAGGTCTGTCTGGCACAAGTATTTCCACCTCAGGGCCTTTGCACTTCCAGGCCCTGCCTGGCAACCTTTTCCTCCCCTTAGCACGGCTGCCTCTTTCTCATCATGCAAGTCTATTCAAAAATCACACGCTCGAAGATTCTTTCCTGACCATTAGCATAACTCAGCCTTTCTGATTACCCTCTCCTACAGGACTTAGTTTATCTTCTTCATAGCCCTATGATATATGATTTAATCCATTAGTATCTTTGTTTATATGTTTATTGTCTTCTTCCCATAAGAATGAAAGAGGTCATCAATGAAACATACAACATTCTTCTAGCTCTTTAATGCTTCCTCTCCACCATTAGCATGACCCCAATTCTACCTTACAAATCCAGCTTGACCAGAGGATGTACATCAGTACAGATAAGAGCTCTCGACACAGGGAATCCAGGACAGATAAGCCCCTCAAGAACAATAATGGGAGTAGTGATACCATGACGGTAGGGGGAAGGTGGGGGGAGCAAGGGGGAACCCATCACAATGATCGACGTAAAACCGCACCCCCTCCTCATATGGGGGACAAACAATAGAAACGTGGGTGAAGGGAGACAGTGGTCGGTGTAAGATGTGAAAATAATGCTTTATAAATTATCAAGGGTTTATGAAGGAGGGAGGGAAAAATGAGGAGCTGATACCAAGGGCTCAAGAAGAAAGAAAATGTTTTGAAAAGGATGGTGGCAACATATGTACAAATGTGCTTGGCACAATGGATGTATGGATTGTTGAAAGAGCTGTAAGAACCCTCAATAAAATTATTTTTTAAAAAGAAGAAGAAGAAGAAAAGTGGTTTGAGGGAACCACTTGTTTGTGGAAATCTAAAGTAGGCTCTGTTACATAGAAGGTGCTGTATTAATACAGGTGGACTATCTGCTCGAAATTCTTTTGGCCATCACATGCGTCAGAGTATCTTTGTGTCGCGTTGCCTTATGGGAGGAGGATGAAGGATGGCACTCTGTGGAGAATGTATGAAGCAGGCATCAAGTGAGGCTGTCATTGCCAAGACCGTGGTGACTTACCGGGCGGACGGGCACCTCACTTTTCCCTGTCTCGTAGCACATGCCTTCTATCTTGATCCTTGGGTGGGCAAGGTCTACCATCCTTGGAGTGGCCACCGCACTCAGAGTCGAAAGGGGAATCTTCGTTCCAATCTAGGGGAGGAAAACAAAATGCCTGTGAGCATCAGTGTTACAAAGTGTGGGCTGAATGCTGGACCAGACTTCTCAGCAACAACAGGGAAAACCATGGGCCTCTTACAGGGCTCCATGATCACTGATGTCTGCAAGCACCGATGTCTGTCTTTCCCAAACCAGGTTTATATGGAGTCCAACCAGTTTCTCCAAACTTCGCCGTGAAATGAATGATGAGAAAGAAACACATTGGTTCAGAGATACACAGGGTTGCTGATCTGGTGGAGGGATAAACTCAGCCAGGAGATAAAGCTCAACCCCACCATAGCAGAAGGTTCCAGGCTGTGAGCAGGGGCGGGGGCTCTGCTTTGTTCTTTATTGTTTTCACCCCCTGTACATTTGAGTTCGCGATATTCCACATCGCCATGTTACAAGTCAACTTGAGTGGTTCTTTTCCCATTGGACTGTGGTTAGGTGCCACCGAGTCACTTCTGATGCCCAGCCACCCAGTCCTGCGCCGTCCTCACAGTGATTCTGATGTCGGAGCCCACTGTTGCAGTCACTGTAGCAGTCCATCTCGTCAAAGGGGCTTCTTCCTGTTGTTCGTGGCCCCTCTACTTTACCAAATATGACTTCCTTCTCCAGGGACTGGTCGATCCTGATAATAGGTCCAAAGGACTTGAGATGCTTTTATGAGCATTGAATGTGGATTCAAGTAATATGAAATAATAAATTACAACCATAAGCAATTAATTCAGATTATAAATAATTCATATCAGTAAATAATAAATAATTCATGTTAATAAATTAATATGAAATAATAAATTACAACTTCCATAATAAGCCCTAGAATCATGAGTACTGTCAGTGAGCTCTGTGTTGTCATTGCAATGGATTATCTAACCCAGCGGAGAAGGAGAGGGTGCTGGGGGTGAGGGTGGGGGACAGTTGGTGTCACAAATGGTTAAAAAAAAAAAAAAAGATTGGAGGATGGAGACCTGCCTCACCTCAGCCTCACTGGGAGTAGACTTTGTGCTGTTGAATTGGAATCTCCTTCCCTCTGTGAAGTCATAGGTTGGGCCATTTCCATGACAATTTCCAACTATCTTTATGTTCAATGTGTTAGATTTTAAAACAACCACTTAATACTTGATAAGGTCTTGTCTGGTCACGTAGGTGGTTGGTGTAAAGTACTTAAAAAGGAATCAAGTGCCATGTACTTACAAACACAGCATTTGTTGTTCGGAAGTATTTTATTCTCTACATTTGGAAACTGAGCCAACCATTATTCAGGACTCTTAAAAAATCACTGTCAAAACTGCCAGGATGATTAATAAAATAATAAAGCTTACCAAGTTGAATACAGAAACCATAGAAAGAAATATACTTTTAAATCCATACTGTAAAATTTGACTGTTAACTACTTAAACCAACCATATATTCCTCTGACTCCTTTTTTCTGGAAAAATGCTAGCTGGAAGCTACCAAAAGACTTGCATCATTGGGTGTGGCCACTTTTTAAAAAGTGACTATAAATTCTTTGACACTCTGTCATTGAGAGGTAGGGTTTGTGCCTCTGTCCGCCTGAATCTGGCCAGGTTTGTAACTGCATCAATCAAGAATGTATGCCTGCAGTGACATGATGTGGTTTCCAATGCCATTACCTTCTTAGAAAACAACTACCATGTAAGCAGAGAGGAGTCCGAGGCTCATGGAGAGTCTGCATGAAGTGCTCCTGCAGATAGATCATCCCAACAAACTAAGTCCAGCATGCAGACCACCCCAGCCTAGCACCAGAGAGAGGTGTGAAGGAGCTTCTCGATGATTCTAGCCCCTACTATTTGAGACATCCCAGCCATTAAAGAGCCCTTGCATGAGGCTGTAGTGGAGTGAAACTTCTTAATATGACCCTTCTAGCCATAATCCCTTTTGTGATGTATTATAAATTCTAGCCTATATGCCAGAGGTTATAATCACATTTTGGAAAGAGTTCTCTGTTATGCTAACAGATAGGACTAAGGTAGGCTATATTCTGAGCATCCCTCTTACTAGAGGGTATGAACCAAGTACCACTTTTTGTTTCCTTGGGGGTATGGCCTGCAAAAACACAATAACCACATGTCCATCAAAGCCATTCTTCTGTGTGTAAGAGAGCCACTTTGGAATCAGGTATTGAGAATTCATGGGACGATAAAGGAGGATGTGCCACCAGCTGCCTGAAGTGATGGGGGTTAAAACCAGGAGCACTAGAGACCATAGGATCAAACAAAGGAGTCACACAGAGACCAGAGGCCAAGGCCAGGCTACCATGAGACAAAGCAGTGGGGCAGAGCAGTGCTTGCGGTGAGGCAGGGCAAGCAGTGTGTGGCCTTCCTGGTCCACAGCAGCAGGATCAAAGGAGCATGTGGCTGATGGGCTGAGGACCAGGAAGAGAAAGACTTGGCTGCTGGCTGAGGAAAGGTGTTGCTTACTGTTTACTGTTCCTGACTTGCGGAAGCCTGTTACCTCCCCTAGCAAACCCCCTTAATTATGAATATTGTCTGTGAGCTCTGTGTGGTCATTGCAAGGGATAATTAAACCCAGCAGAGAAGTAGAGTGTCTCGGGAGGAATGGCTGGTGTTCCCATGGGGTAAAGGCAGGATGGAGGGTAAAGGCTTGCTATGTGGCAGTCAGCTTAGGGTTGGTGAGGAGTTGAAGTCTCCTCCCTTGTGTAGCTACAGGAAGTTAGATATGGCCTCCACGCCATTTACTCAGAGGCTATAAGCATTATGGAGCCTCTGCTATCCTTGCAAGCCTTAGCAGAATGTCTGAGTCAGGGAATCCTGAAGCATAATAAAATGATTGTATTTTTTTTACAATATTAAGTTTGGGGGTGGTGTGGTATACAGCAGATATAGCAAAACATTAAGGATGGAGTCTCCATATTGTGTCTAGGTTGTCTAGAATTTGTTTTCTAGCTAAGACTTAAAGGTATTCATGATATTCTTATCAGTGGTTAAAAAAAAGACCCTGGCATGACCAAATACCAGAGGAGTCATGGGATGGCATCAAGGGCATCGTACACAAAGACAGCAACAGGTCATGGAAAAGACAGAAAGAAAGGACAGAACAGAGTGAATGTCAGAAGAGACTCTGAAACTTGCTCTTAAACAGAGAGGCGCTAAAGTGAATGGAAGAAATTATGACATAAAAGAGATGAACAAAAAATTTCAAAGGGGGAGGCTCAAGAAGACAAAGTAAAGGTTCCCCCCACTATCCAAAAACAGAGAGTTCCCACAAAAGCTGTCCTAAGCCTCCTATGAGCCCAAATGGCATAAAGAGAAGTCTATGTAAGAAAAAATGTTGAGCATTCCCAGAGGTCCGCTCACATCACAAATAACACGTGAACACTAAGACAGCACGAACATGGTGTTCATAGCTTGTAGTGGCTTGATGCTGATGAGCTGAGTGTAACTGCTGCCGAAGGAACGTGGTGTCACTGCTTCTTCGGTGGCTTGTTGCAAAACACACACTGAACACTGGTTTCACATTTTGCCTCTTTTGTAAAGGTGAAATGACTCCTCAGGATCCTTTCAGTAAACGTGAAGTGGCATATGGGATGCCTACACAATGAAATGTGAAAAGACCTGGAGTCAGAAAGTCAAAAGGGAAGAATGTACTGAGCAGTCCCCAAGCTCAAAAAACAGAAGAAAAGCTTCAAGCCTTGAGTTGAAATACTGGAGGATTCTATGAGCAAAAACCTGATTTACACAAAAAGCCTGAAAAGAAAGTGGCAGGAATACACAGAGGTATTGTACCAAAACGCACTGGTCAGTATCCAATCATTAAAAGTAGAATATGAGTAAGAACTTATGGTAGCGAAGGAAGAAGTCCGAACAGCACTGAAGGCATTGGCAAAAACAGGGCTCCTGGTGATGCTGGAATGAGCAATTGAGATGCTTCAACAAATGGATACAATACTGGAAACTCTCACTCATGTATGCCAAGAGATCTGAAAGATAGCTACCTGAACAACCAACTGGAAGAAAGTCTTATCTGTGTCCATTCCAAATAAAAGTGAGCGCTTGGTCATTTAGAGGTGCTAGAATTTGTCAGTGTTCAATCGTTTCAAGAGGTAGAACGTGATCAAGATTCAATGGTAGCATATGATCAAGAAGTACAAGCTGCACTGACAGCATTAGCAAAAGGCAAAGGTCCTGGAATGGATGGAATACCAATTGTAATGTTCCAACCAAATGATGAAGGAAGCCGTCACTGCTCTATGTCCAGCAATCCTGAAGACTGTCATCTGGCCACCCTGGCCATTGCAAAGAAGGGTGACCCAGCAGAATGCAGAAATTACCTAACAATATCATTGATGTCATATGCAAGTAAAATTTTGCTAAAGATAATTCAAAAATGGATGGAGCAGTGCCTTGACAAGCAGCTACCAGAAATTCCAGCCGGATCCAGAAGACATCATATAGATCTTGGTTAAAAGCAGAGAATACAAAGACAACAACAAACCATTTACTAGTGTTCTATTGCTACACAAAGATAATCAGCTGTAAGGATCATAAAAACAGTATGGGTAACTTTGAGAAGACTGGGAATTCCAAACCCCTTCATTGTGTTCATGAAGAACCTGTGGGAACCAAAAGGCAGTTATTCGAGCATAACAAGTGATACTGTGAGACTTAATCGGGAAAGGAAAATAAACTGAAGTAGAAGTTATAGTATGCCCCCTAACATAAATAAAACAAAGAAACATGCATGTCAGAGTTATGCCCTCTCACCATATTTATTTAACCTGTGCTGGACGAGTAATCTGAGAAGCTGGACCCTATAAAGACTACAGTAGATCAAGATTGGAAGAAGACTCATTAACAACCTGTGATGCGGAGAGGGCACAGCATTGCTTGGACTGACGAAGGGCAAAGACTATAGCCCGATTACACCTCAATGTAAACAAAACAAAACCCCTCAAAACTGGGTCAAAGACAACATGCTGGTCAATGGAGAAACAACTGGAGTTCCCAAGAAATTCCTGTTACTTAGCTCCGCAGTCAGCATCCACGGAAGCAGCAGTCAAGAAATCAAATGACGTCCTGCGTTGGGAGCACCTGCTGCCAACCATCTCTTCAAAGTGCTGACAAGCCAAGTGTCACCTTGAGAACCAAGGGGCGAAGACTGCAGCTGTGGTATTTTCAGTCTCCTCACCCGTATGCAAAAGCTAGACAACGAATAAGAAAGGCTGAAGAAGAAAGAATGCCTTTGAATTATGGCGTTGATGTAGAATGTTGAATCTACACAGACTGCCAGAAGATCAAACAAATCTGTCCTGGAGGACACCCAACAAGAAGGTTCCTTAGAAGCAAGACTGGTGAGACTTCATCTCACATACTTTGGACATGTGATTAGGAGACCAGTCCCCGGAGAAGAGCATCATGCTTGGTAACGTGAAGAAAGGGGCAGCGAAAACGAGGAAGGCCCTCGGTGAGATGGGTTGACCCAGTGGCTGCCACAGTGGACTCACACATAATAACCATGTGAGGCTAGAACAGGCCCAGGAGGAAGTGTTTTGTCCCCTTGCACATGAGTCGGAACAACAGCAACCACAATCCATTGCATGCAGTAGCAAAACAAAAGCAGCAAGACGTGGGTGACCAAGCTGCCATTGCCAGAGCACATTTTAGTGAAAATAATGGAGTAGGCGTGAGTTAGTTAATTGTGCCAGCCTGGCCGATAATCACATGTGGTGTTGATTGAAAGGCGGAGGGATAGATGGGTGGTGAAGCCTCGCTTTTCTAGTTCTCGGGTCTCTTGTTTTGTGATGGTTGCATCCGGGTGCAGCTGCCTTAGCAGTTCCCTGCTTCAGCTTGCAAGATGGATTTCCTACAAGACATCCCCAAGGAGAAGCCGCATGGATCTATCCCGATGCAGCCCTGGGTGCTGGAGCAGCCGTGTGGAGACCCCTGCCAGTGCTGAGATGCTTACACGTTCACTGACTCAGCTTTCCTCCTGCAGTCGGCATTATTGGCTCTGTTTTGTGAGGTGGAGGACTTTGTGGACTGGTGTTGGGTTAATGGGTTAATGTTGGACTTGTGGGCTTGGGCAGCATTGGGTTGGGATGTTTTCGTGATGCACATTTTCTTTACATAAAACGCTCTCTTATACGTGAGTCGCCGTGGATTTGTTTCTCCAAAGTACCCAGACTAATACATTATGGTACCTTGGGAGTGGGGTACTGGAGAAACAAATCATAAGATAGAGAGTAGATGTTTGTTTGACCTCTCCCTCATGGAAGTTTTGTCCCGTTGCACATGAGTCGGAACAACAGCAACCACAATCCATTGCATGCAGTAGCAAAACAAAAGCAGCAAGACGTGGGTGACCAAGCGGCTATGGCCAGAGCACATTTTAGTGAAAATAATGGAGTAGGCGCTTTGGTGGTATCATGGTGATGCATTGGGCTGTGATCCGAATGGTCAGGAGTTTGAAACCACCAGCAGCTCCTCAGGAGAAAGACTGGGCTTTCTACTCCTGTCACAGTCTCGGGAACGCACTACGTGCTCACTATGAGTCGGCACTGCCTCCATGACAGGGAGCGGTCGAGGGTAATAGGGTGGGTTGGTTGCTTCTAAGTGTACTGGAAAACTTAAAGGAAGTGTAAATTGTATCCCGAATGTGACCGCTCTCTTCTGTTAAAGTTAGAGCAATGATTGAGAGAGGCTTGACCTTGAAAACTGGAATGAGTCTCTATAGAAAGAATCCACTGAAGCTGGGGAACTCAAATCTTTAACTACTGCAGAGCCTTCCTGTGGAGGAAGTCAAATGATGCTGTTGCCAGGGGTTACAAAGAGACACTTGGATTCCATCGCATGCAGGGTGAGCTGTAGTCAATCCCCAAGGCCCTTCTAGCCTTAATGTCTTAGTACACTCCTGAACTTCAGACACCGGTGGCTAAGGCCCCATATTTGAGGGCACTCTCTTCTGATGGATAGGACTAGGGTTGGATTAAGAGCTGCCCTCAGTAGACGGTGTGAACCAAACCCCACCCTTTGTTTTCTTGATGGTGTCCTCTACTCTACCTTACTAGAGGCTGTGACCTAGGACACCATCCTTTGTTTCCTTGTCCTCACAACATGGCCTCACCTGGAAAGCCAGACCTCCACTTCTGGACTAAGCTTTGGCAGAAGCAAGAAGACTCACTGTGACTTTTGGACATTTTTGCCTCCTGGCTCTGGACCCTGCACTTGGTTTGCCTCTGCCTGACCTTCAGATTTTGAACTGGACAGCACCCAACCACCTCGTGAGACATTTCCTCGACATTTCATGAGTTTCTGTGAGATGTGTAGTGAACTGCAGAAACCAGGGACATGCGGGAATAGACGGGGAGGAGGGGGAAATGGGGTAGAACAGCATCTTGGAAGTGTTGGACTTCTGAGACATCATTGATCTCCAACTCCTTGCAGCTAGTCTGGTATTAATTCTTCTGAAAGAAAGTATTTCCCCAGGGTGGCAAACAAAAGGCCAGCTTTGGGTGACCAAGCAGTTGCTGTCTTTGCCTGAAGAAATAACTAGAAACTTTTCAGAGAACTGCAGATGCTCCTCAGAATCTACTCCAGCACCTCGTATTGTTCCAGAGCCATGTAACCCAAGTCCCAGCCAGAGGAAAAACCTTCCGCAGGCTTCGCCACTAGTTCCCACAATGTGGAAGGTCTAATCCCTTGAGTAAGTCCCTTTTCCTATATCCCCCACAGCCCATCCTGTCTCTACTCAAACCCTAAAGGATACATTAGGCATCGGAAAGGTAGTCAGAAAAATTGACCACTTGGGACAGGGGGATATACATGGGTAGCATGTACAAAGTGGACCAGGAACTGTTCCTTTCACGTGGGCTCACTCACTTTTTTTGGAGGGAGGTAGTGTGGATCCATGCCTTTAGCTAAAGAGAGGCGTAATATCCGGGGAGAAGCATAAGGGATATTTGCTGAAGTCGCTCTGCGGCTGAAATGAAAAAATAAAATATTATAACTATTGGATGGTAGAAAAAGAGCTACATTTTTATTGCTATAACCAACCACTATTGCCTTTGTTTGTTTTGGGTTTGTTTTTTTTAACTATTGCTTTTTATCACCTCGATGTGTTTAATACTACAATCTCCATTAAGTACATTCTATGTTGTGAAATAATATGTGCATATGTGCATGTGTGTGTGTATGAAACAAGATTCTCATGAAACAATCCCTACTCTATGCAATGTAGTCTGAGTTTTAGAAATTTGATTGTTTTCATTGAAAAACCACTAGATTGTTTTCATGAGCCATTGGTGGTTTGTAACTTGTAGTATGCAAAAAACCTCATTTTCTACCTGAACCCTTTATTAAATCTGAGGTGAAAATTCCAGGTATCACCATGAACCCTTCTGTGATGGCTAATTGCTTCTGCGGTGGTGCAGTGTGAGACAGAACTGGCCACACCTTCTAGTCATCTGGCCAATGTTCATAGGTTGGTCCCCATATACTCTTACCCCTTAGCAAAAACCCACCCACCCACCAACCAAACAACCAAATACCAGTATGGTAAAAGGCTGTCCTAACTATGGAGTTAATCACCCTCTACACAGAGCTTATTAGCGATCTTTCTTTTTTCACCCTGGAACTGAGATGCAATTCACACATCATAAAATTCACCCTGTAAATGTACGGTTCTGTGGTTACTAGAACATCACAAAGTTCTAGAACATCAGTCAGCACGTAACCTCATGCATATTAACGGACGGAGTCCACTTTGTTCTTGTTGAAAGAACACAGCATAAATGGGATTGTGTTCTTAACTTCATTACGATTGTTTATTTCCAGTGTATCATTGATTCTGTACATGCTATTGTATCCTGAAACCTTCCTAAAGTTACTTATTAGCTTTCATTGTTTCATATGAATTCCTTACAATTTTATAAAAATCAATTTTATTGGGGGCTCGTACAACTCTTATCACAATCCATACATTCACTCATCGTGTCAAGCACATTTGTACATTTGTTACCATCATCATTCTCAAAACGTTTGCTTTCTACTTGAGCCCTTGGTATCAGCTCATTTTATCCCCTCCCGCAAACCCTCATTCACAAACCCTTCATAATTTATAATTATTATTTTGTCATGTCTTACACTGTCTGACGTCTCTCCTCACCCACTTTTCTGCTGTCTGTCCCCCAGGGAGGGTGTTATATGTAGATCCTTGTGATCAGTTTCCCCCTTCTACCTCACCTTCCCTCCACCCTCCTGGTATCACCACTCCCATTATTGGTCCTGGGGGGTTTCTCTAGCCTGGAATCCCTTACAATTTTTTACACCCACGATATGCTATTTCTCAATAGAGATAGGTTTACAGCTTCCATCCCATTCTGAATGCCTGCTATTTCTTTTTCTTGTCCAAATGCCCATAGATGTGATAGAGCCACAGGATGAAATATTGTTCAAACATATAACCCAAAACCTACTGCCACAGAGTCACTTACCTTGCTCAGAGCAACACCAGGTAGGATTTCCCTAAGTGTACATATTTATGGGAGCAGGCAGCCTCACCTAACCCACACACCACAGCTCCCTATCCAACCACGCAGATGAATGAAATATGGACACGTGCGTCACCGGGGATGGGCCTTGGAGGTATGCTAAGGAGCACTTCCAAAATCAAAAGGCTTATTGCATAGGACTGCTAAAATCTGCTGTAAACGTCACTTGATAAGAGGATAGTAAAAGGAAATAGAGGAAAGAACTAGGAGGCAAAGGGCATTTACAGAGGTCTAAATAAAGGCATATCCATATGTAAACATATTTATATATGAGGATGTGGAAATAGATCTATGTGCATATATGTATAGGTTTAGTATTAAGGTAGCAGATGAACATTAGGCCTCCATTCAAGTACTCCCTCAATGCAAGAATACTTTGATCTACTAAACTGGCATTCCATAATGCTCACCTTCCCAACATGATCACTGAAGACAAATGGGTGCATAAACAAATGTGGTGAAGAAAGCTGATGGTGCCTGGCTATAAAAAGATATAGCATCTGGGGTCTTAAAGG